GAACATTCCGTTGCGCGATTCTAACAATTTCTGCCCATGTTGATTGTTTCACTGCCCTTCATCTTCCTCTTGTGGGTGCACAACTCCTTCAATAATTTAGCATATATGGGAATTTGCTTGATGGCATCAAGCAGAGGTATGTTCACCTCTACTTTCCTGAAGGTCTCCAAAATCTCTTTATCGACCTCTTCCATCTTTTTGCTTGGAATTGCTTTGGGAGGGAATTGAAGAGGGATAGGAGGCTGCTGCTGCAGGTCAGAAATGGTGCTGGGAGAAGGTCTAGCTGTAGGCAATTTTTGGCCACCAACTGGTTGCTCAGGTGCAGGAACTGAGGCAGGTACAGATGAGGGTGGAGATACTGCATTGGGTATGTCAATCTGTTTTCCTTACCTCAATGTGATGGCACTCACATTCTTAGGATTAACCACAGTCTGTGCAAGAAGCTTGTCTGAATTGTGATTTTGCAATTGATTCATAGCAGTAGCTAGTTGACCAATCTGGTTGGTAAAGAGGCGGTCGGAGCGACGCGATGGTTTTGATGACTCTTGTTTTTTAAAGTGTGGTCATCACCTTTTAAGATGTCCGATATGAGGTTTTCATAAATGGGTTCTAGAGTCGCCACCAATATTTTTACCAAAAACATTGGAAAAGGAAAAGAAGGCGATGGTTTTTAAGAAAAACCAACTTTGGTCATTATAACCAGAGTTAGGTAAGGGAGTTAGTTACGTGTGGGGAAGGTATCAGCTTCCCCACGACGCTCCTTTCGGGTTCCCTATGATGGACTATTTTTGTAAAGAAATAAGAACATTAAAACTATGCTTTTACCCTTATTTATTCATTGCAAAATTTAAATTATTGACTACATGGCCCTTAATAACTAATGCACAGAGATAATAACTAATAAAAGTGATAAAATAGAGTAAGGGATATAAAAGAACGTTCGAAGCAAGTTTTTTATAAAATGCTCTTAAAAGGGCACTTTTTGGTGAACCCCACGCTCTACAATGATGCTCACTCTTCTTTCGAAGAACTTTAGAATGCTTTTTAAGAACTCTAAGACTCTGGAAATGCTTCAGAGGGGTCCTAGAAGAGTATTTTAAGGTGTATTTCAGTTGGAGAAGTTGTAGAAAATGAGGAGAAGACCCCCTTTTTATAGAAATTCACGCCTATCAAGTCAGGATCGCCGTCTCGACTTTCGGGACAGTCGTCTCGCCTTTGACAAATGGCGAGACAACAGTCTCACCAAACGAAACGGTGGTCTCGCCTTTGACAAGTGGCGAGATGGCGGTCTCGCCTTTGGCAAGTGGCGAGACGGCGGTCTCGCCAAACGAGACGGTGGTCTTTTCTTTGGCAAGTGGCGAGATGGTGGTCTCGCCCTTAGCCAATGGCGAGACGGTGGTCTCGTCAAACGAGACGGCGGTCTCGACCCTTTCGGTGGAATTTTTTATTTTTTGTGTACAAAAAGCCTTCCTATTCTAATATGGGGCCTATTGATCAATCCTAGGGACCTTTTAGGCCTTGTCCATCTTGGAACGGAAGTCTTCTGCTCTTTATTTTGAGGTCGGACAAGATTTAGGGTCTACAAGGCATCATTTTTCTATTGGTACTGTATGATCATCTCAGCCATTTGTTTGACCAATTCCTCTAATGAAGGTGAAGAAGGTTGAGGATCTGGTGGAGCAGGTGCTACATTTTGCAGCCTCTGATATTGTTGTTGTATTGGTGGAGGCACATAAGGTCTGCTTGGACCAATAGAATTCTGAAATGGTGGTGGTGGCGAAGGATTCTGTTACTGTTGGTTCTGCTGATTGGACCATCTCAGATTTGGGTGATTCCTCCACCCTAGATTGTATCTATTGCTTGAGAGGTCAGGATTATGTTGTTGGTTTGGAGCCCTATTATTGAAAATGTTTGTTGAATAAGCTTGTGGAGCTCTAGAACCTGTAGACTCATGCAATCAGTGGGATGCTCATTTGAAGTACAAATGCCACAAACCCTTGCAGGTGGTGTAGGTCTCTGATTTGCAGCAAGTTGGGAGATTAGGGTGGTGAGGGAATCAAACTTACTTTCTAGCTTCTTCTCCACTAAATCTGATGAACCCACATTATGGACACTTCTAAGGACTATGGCATCACTCCTCATGTTAAATTGTTGGGAATTGGACGCCATCTTCTCAATTAAACCTCTAGCAGCAGTAGGTGTCATGTCTCCTTAAGCTCCTCCACTAGCTGCATCTATCATACTCCTATCAATTATGTTCATCCCCTCATAAAAGTACTGCAACAGTAGTTATTCTGATATTTGGTGGTGAGGGAAACTTGCACAAAGTCTCTTGAACCTCTCCCAATACTTGTATAAGCTCTCTCCCATCTATTGCCTAATACCTGATATATCCTTCCTGACGGCAGTGGTCCTAGCAGCAGGGAAGAATTTCTCTAGAACGACTCTCTTCAGCCAGGAGCTAAGTACTACAGCCAATCTTTGGCAAGATCCTCCAAAGAGAAAGAAAAAGCCTTTAGGTATATGTGATCTTCAGGAACATTTTGTGGCTTCATGGTGGAGCAGACTATATGGAACTCCTTGAGATGCTTGTGTGGATCCTCACCTGCACGATCATGAAACTTGGGCAACAAATGGATTAGTCCAGTTTTAAGCACAAATGGTACATCCTCTTCAGGGTATTGGATACATAAATTTGCATAAGTGAAATTGGGTGCAGCCATCTCCTTAAGAGTCCTCTCATGAGGTCCAAAAGGTTGCTCACCCATGTTGTTCTCAGTAGAAAAACCAGAAACAGAAGCAAAATCAGAATCAGAAATAGAAGCAGTATGCACAGAGTTGAGATTGGTACACAAAGGAGGAGAATGGTCAGAACTATTTAAACTAATTCTATCTAAATGTACATCATCTAAAGACACGTTCCTAAAAAGCCTAACTAGTCTATGAAAGGTCCTATCTATTTCAACATCAAAGGGTTGTAGAGAGTTGTGGTTGGTCCGAGTCATGCACTACCAATACCAATATAGCACTTAGAACAAGGCTATAAGTACGCTAAGTAGGGGTAAAATGGTTGACTTTTGAAAATTTTCAGAACCACCAAAACAACTGCACCACAATCATCCTAGGATCAATAAAAACTAGCACAAAAAAGTTCAGGTGAAAATTCAATGGTTAAGTACATGCACAAAAGGGTCAACCTTATCTAAATAGCCCACCAAAACTCAACATAATCACTCAAAAATTCAAATCTTGAGCTACAGAACTCAGATTACCAAACCCTTTGGCCAGCATGCACCTAAAATTATAGGATTCAACAGAAAAAATCAGCAAGGCAAAATGCTAAGTCTCGCTATGTTAACCACCCTAGAAAAGTTTGGAAAAAGAGGGCAATAAAACTTCAAAAATAAAAAAAATAGTAAATGGCCTTTTTTTGGAGTTCTAAGCAAGACTAAACGGCGTAAATCTCAATTTTTTACCCCAAAAGCATATATAATACGTCCAATTCTGATAACCAGAGCAAAAGTTATGGTCGTTTGAATTTTTCACAATTTTTCCTTAACCACCCACTTGGAAATCATATCAAATGAATGAATTTGGATCTGTCCTTTTGCATGCACTTAACACATGATGAAAGAAGTGTGGACACAAAAAATGAGGGAAAAATTCCATGAGGAAGTATTTTTTTAGATTTTCCGAAAACTAGTGAAAAATTGGCACTATTCACAACACACTGCATATCAATTTCTGGCCCAAAACAGAACATTGCATGCAATTTTCCCACAATTTCACGCCTCAAACAGAGGAGTAGTAGGGAGAGAAAACAGAGTTGGCCTCCAAAAATAAAAAGTAGGGAGAGAAAACAGAGTTGGCCTCCAAAAATAAAAAGTATGCAGCAGAATAGCACAAAATAGCAACAAAAATAGAAAACAAAAATAACAATAGAAAAACTATGCCATAGAATTCTACTGCTCCACAAGCTTGGACGAATTTATGTGGTAGCAAACAGCAGAAACAACAATTAACAAAAATAGTAAACTAAATTACAGCAACAGCCAAATACAGCAATAGCAATTTTACAGCAAATTTAAGTTACTGTTCCATTGCCTTCCAAGGTGAATTGTGCAGCTAAATTCAAAATTTTTCCTTGCTCCAAAATGTTGCACCTACAACCCTCAATAACAAATCGCAAAATTGAAAATAAAACTGACCACAACAGTAAATCACACCCTAACACGAAATTACATAGATAAACTACCCTAAAATAAAACAAAACACAACACACAACCCTTGACAGAAACTGTTGGTCCCCAGAAGCGGTGCCAAATTTGATCGAGGTCGTACCCGAATCAAATAAACAACATAAATGTAGTACTAGGAAGTGACTCCTAGGTTGTCTCCCATGGATCGTTTCTTTCTATCAAATGGTTAAACACGTAATGGGGGGAGGGTTTGAACAGATTATGGAAATTAAATAAAACGAAACAAAAATACGAATTAAACACAGTAATGGAAATAGGTCTGACCCTTGAACATAATACACCTCTATTATCCTCGGTTCACAACAAATAACTTGTTCAAGCTTAATCCTTATTTTGTCCAGATTAACCAACTAAGAGAAAATTAACCTGAGACTTCCCTACATGAATTAAGCAAACGTGAACTCTGTCAAACCCTCTTCCTCAGGATTAGGCAACCTTAGGAACTGAACGCAAACAACCAGAGTCTCTAAGCGTGACTCAGATATTGAACGCTCAAGAACAAAGAGCTAACAAAGAGGAACCAAGTAGAACGAAATTGCAATGCACACAGAGAACCTCCAACAGAGGAACTGCAATCTGCCCAAGTGCCCAACCCTGGGTTTAGCCTTCCATTAATTCAGAAACGCAGCAAAAAACATAAAAACGAAAAATCCAGTGCCCAGAAGAAGAAGAGAAAAAGAACAAATATAAGAACTACGACTTTATTCTCTACGTTAAAACTTAAAAAATAATCCTAAAAACTCCAGATGGTGGCTGCTGATTCTGACTACGTGAATAGTCACCTTGGGCAACACTAGCCCCCCTCCAAAATACAAAAATGCCCCTCCTTAAGTCTGAAGGAAAAAAAATTACAAAATTACCACTAAACCTAAAACAACCACCAACTACAATTGTGGACCCAACAATGTTGGCCCAAAGAGAAAGAAATAAAATCCTAATTGCTAATGTGGCACACTCCTCTCTTCAAGTCCAGAATTAGTTTCCCAGCTCCAAGTAATATTCCAAAACTGCCCTGAAAAAAGATAATGGGAATAATTAAGCTCAGAAAATTCAAAACCTTGTGATTGATGAGTACAAATTTGAGTCTTTTTGTAAGACTCGTCTTCAGGATGCTCCATCGATGCGGTGGCTGACCCTGTGATTGATGAGTACGAATCTGAGTCTTTTTGTAAGACTTGTCTTCAGGATGCTCCGTCGATGCGGTGGCCGACCCTGTGATTGATGATTATGAACCCCCATCTGGTTTGAGCCTTTTTGTAAGACCCGTCCTCAGGATGCTCCGTTGATGCAGTGGCCGACCCTGTGATTGATGAGTACGAACCCCCATATGGTTTGAGTCTTTTGGTAAGACTCATCCTCAGGATGCTTTGTCGATGCGGTGGCTGACCCTGTGATTGATGAGTATGAACCCCCATCTGGTTTGAGTCTTTTTTGTAAGATTTTTCCTTAGGATGCTCCGTCGATGCGGTAGTCGACCCTGTGGTTGATGAGTATGAACCCCCATCTGGTTTGAGTCTTTTTCTTGGACTGAACTATGTGACAGCGACTTACTGATCTTGGTCACGCGCTGATTCCATGGGGAGTAGTTCTTTGCTTGAAAATTGTTTTTGTCTTTTCTGAGTATTCATCCGGTGTGCCGGAGATTCTTTTTTTTTTTGCTTTTACAATAGTCGTCTAGCTTGTTGATCACTGGGGATTTTTTTATAATTGGGCTTTTCCAGTAGCCATCCAGCTTGTTGATTGCTGGGGATTCTTGATTTTGGGCTTTTCCAAAAGCCATCCAGCTTGTTTGATTGCAGGGGATTCTTTGATTTTAGGTTTTTTCGATAGTCATCCAGCTTGTTGATTGTTGGGGATTCTTTGATTTTGGGTTTTTTCCATAACCATTCAACTTGTTGATTGCCGGAGATTCTTGATAAGTGCCTCTTAGGTAGGCAGGAATCCACTAGGGATTTGTTGATTTTGATGTTGCCTCTGAGTAGGCATATGCTTCATTGAAGGTGAAGACTTTTGGTTGCACTACTTTGCCTCTGAATAGGCTGATATTCCCTTTGGGGATGCTGGATCTTGCTTGCCAAATCTTGCCTATGCATAGGCAAACGACTCTCTAGGGATAACAGTCTAAAGATTGCCTTTGTAGTAGGCTCACTGGGGATACATCTTTCTTTTTGTTGGTCCACCAGGGAATTGGTTGACTTCTTGGGGATCTGGTTTTGGTTTCTTTTTGGGAAATGGAGTCTTGGCTCCTTAATTGATGATGGTGCGAGCTAGCTTTGTGAAGCCCTTATTCCACTTGAGGGAATAGACTTTCTGATTTTTTTGTTAGGTTGAGTTTTCTTTGTGTGACCCACTTGGGGGCTTATTGACCTTCTTTTGACATGGCCTCTTTCTTTTTGGTCATCCGCTGGGGATGAAAGGTTTTTTTCTTTTCTTTTTCCTGAGCCCTTTATTCTTCATTGGGGAAGGTGGCAGAGGCTTGGTTGAGTGTGCTTGCTGACTCATGTGGTGGCGATGTTGAGCCTTAGGGTATTATTTTTTTATTTTGCCTCTAGAGTAGGCAAGGATCCTTTTTGGGGATAATCGAGCCTTTCCGTCGGCTTTTCTTTGTTTAATGTTTGTGCCCTCTTTATTGGGTAGAAGGATGATGGTTGGAGCTTTGGGCTCTGGAAGCTCTTATTTTGTCTTGAGTCGCTTGACAAATGACGACAACTTGCTCCATTTTCTTGAAGGAGAGTGTTATTTGGAGACTCGGTCTCGGCAATCCTGTTTTTAAATCACAAACATGGAGCCTATTCTCCTTATATGCATGATTCTTATTTTTTGCTTATTTTCTTAGATAGATTTTTATTTTTCATTTTTTTTATTTTGACAGAATCATTTTGTGTGACTACTTGTGTGTGGATGTCCTAAATGCAATCTATTCTCTTATTTGATGCATATAGAAAAGTGACCGGCATTCTCATGCTGGACTTGTTATGATCATGCTGATGGGCTACTCTTTTTATTCATATTTTTTGGTTTAGCCCTAACTTTGGCCTAGACCACCCTTTTGGGGTTTTCGATCTAGCGGGCTGCCTTAATTTTTGCCTAGGATATCTTAGTGGGCTTTTTCCTTTTTTATGAGTGCCTTAACTTTTGCATAGATCTCCCTTTTGGGGTTTTCAATCTAGCAGGTTGCCCTAATTTTTGCCTAAGAATCTCCTAGCAGGCATTATTCTCTTTTATTTTCATTTTTTTCCTTTTTCAATGCTTCCTTGTGTTAGAAAAGAAGGTTGAGTTCAAGAGGAGGGGTGAATTGATCTTTGAAAGATTTTTGTAATTTACAGATTATCTATTTCAAAGATTAAGAGTTCTGACCAATTCTTGAATCAAGAAAAACAAGCAATTAAAATAAAGGCAGCAACAAAATTAAAGAGAGTAAGGTTTAGAGAAATACAACCAAGATTGATATTGGTTCACCCAATCCCAGGGCTACTTCTAGTTCTCAGCCAAATTCCAGTTGAATTCCACTAGAATGAATGTTTTACAGATTACAAATTACAATCATACACCCAATCTACCACAAGAACCAAAATTCTAGTTCTTGCACCTAAACCTTCACCAAGAACCAACTTTCAGTTCTTGAACCAACCTGCAGCCAAATTCCAGCCACATAAATTCCTTGCCCAACAATTCCATGCACTCACAATACAACAAAGAATGATAGAAAACAAAAAAGAAGAAACCAGAACAATCTAACCCGGATTATGCAATCCCTGCAATATGAGTTTCTTCAAAAAAAAAGAATGCAAAAATGTCTCAAGAAAGAACTTTCAAAAACACCACAAAACTTGCACGATTCTTTCTTGAAAAACTTCACTTATGATTGCTTGATTGATTTCTCAAAGGTATATTTTAAAAGACTGAAGCAATCCTATTTATATAGATATTTGTTCTAACTACTGGTTTAATTAATCTGTTAAAACAATCTTTTAATCTGTTAAAAGTCTAGAATTAATCTATTAAAACTTCTTTTAATATGTTAAAATGCTCTTGATTATTTTCCAGATTTGTTTTAACTGATACGACAATGTTTCAATCGATTAAAACACTTTGTAAAAAATCCCTTAAGTTGTTTTAATCGATTAATTCGCAATTTAATCGATTAAAATTCTGCCAAATATTTTCATAAAACTTTCTAAGTGATTTTAAATGATAACAACCAGTTTTAATCAATTAAAACAGTTAGTTGAAATTCCCTTAAATTGTTTTAATCGATTAATTCGATTTTACATCGATTAAAATTCTGACAGAACACCTTTCAAAATATTTCAAGTTATTTTAATCGATTATTTCAAATTTACATCGATTAAAATACTGAAAGAACATCTTTCAAAACACTTCAAGTTATTTTAATCGATTGTTTCGAGTTTGTATCGATTAAAATACTGCCAGAACACTTTCCAAAACATTTTAAGTGATTTTAATCGATTATTTCGAAATTATATCATTTAAAACACTGGCAGAAGGTTTTCAAAAACTCCTTTAATGAAAATAATCGATTAATTTGAAAGTTTTTATCGATTAAAACAGTTCTAGTGAATGTTTTAATAGGTTTTAATCGATTATTTCGAAAACCTATCAGCTTAAAAATCTGTTATGTAAGTTTTAAGAACATTTTAATTGATAAAGCTCATATAATATCAGTTAAAACAATTTGCTAAAAACAATTTAACCGATTACTTTGGTTTTTAATGGATTAAAAACATCTTTAGAGGCATTTTCAAATTCTTTCAAATGATGAAACCTCATGCAGCAGACAGATATGAATGATTATACCTATGTATAGATGCAGACTCACTAATCACTCTATCCTTTTAACCCAAGTAACCTTTGACTTTATCAGATTAGCCTTTGACTTCATCAAATCAACAAGATCTTCGTTTTATCAAATGATTCAATAAGATCTTCATTACTTTCAGTCTCCCCCTATTTGATGAAGACAAACACCTCTTTGAAAGATTTTGATCTGCAGAAGAAGTCACTTGGATATATAGATTAGTGAGTATTCAATATCAATTATTTCTCCCCCTAGATTAGTGAGTATTTAAAAAATTAATCATTTCTCCCCCTTTGACTTCATCACAAATAGGGAAGATAGGGATAAAACAAGCAATATGCATAGCATGTAATGATAACAATTTTTTTTTAAAAAACAGTTCCAGTATAATCAGAGAAAAAAAGAATATCAATAAGATGTATTATTCATTTAAGAATCAATTAAAGTTGATTCAAACTTATCTTCGTTAACACATTTGTAATGAATACAATAGACACGTGTAAAGATAAGGGAACCTTGCTTTAGTAGCATGTTACAAGAACAACCATTAACTAAAGCCTTTAATTTCCTTTGCAGAATAATAATCGATTAAAAACAAGACATAATTGATTAAATGGTTCCTGTTAATGATTTTAATTGATACAGATAACATTTTAATCGATTAAAATAGGAATGACAGATGCATATTAAAATCCTGATAGAGTTTAATCGATTAAAACAGTACGAACAATAGTATTATAAGTGAAATTCATTTATTAAAGCTAGTTTATATCAATTAAAATAATCAATAATGAGAACTAAGTGATGTTTGATGCATCTAAAATGCCTAATTTAGTTCGGATTTTATAAAATCGATCACGAGCAAGAGGTTTTGCGAATATATCAGCTAATTGTTTCTCAGTTTCTATAAAGAAAATTTCACAATCACCTTTTAAAACATGATCTCTAATGAAATGATGTCTAATTTCTATATGTTTTGTCCAAGAATGTTGAATTGGATTCTTTGTTAATATGATGGCACTAGTATTATCACATAAAAGAGGGATTTTATTGAGAATTAAACCATAGTCCTCAAGTTGTTGTTTGAGCCACAAGGATTGAGCACAACAACTTCCAGCTGCAATGTACTCGACTTCAACTGTAGAAAGAGCAACACATGATTGCTTTTTGTTATGCCATGAGATTAGACTACTTCCTAGGAGATGACAAGTGCCATTGGTGCTTTTTCTGTCAAGCTTACACCCTGCAAAATCTGAGTCAGAGTAACCAATTAGATTTAGTTTAGACTCACCAGGATAC